CCGTGGCTTCCCTTTGCAACAAAACCCTGCCATCACATATCGTAACACGTTCCCAAAATGGAACACGTTTTTTCATTTGGTAAACACAGCCACATTTTCACATGACACACACATACCATTCATTGCTTGAACACAAGTAGCCTTTGGGTGAACACTACCAAGCATGGAAAGAACACTGAAGAGCAAAACTGAAAACACAATTGTCGAAAGGGAACACAATGAATTACACACTGAATGTATGACAGGGCCCACTTTTCTCTGAGACAAACACTAGACATCACACAAATTTTGAGACAATACATTTTATTTTTACACTTATCCCCCCCCCCCCCACACACACACACACACACACACATTTTGAGACAAAACATTTGATTGTCACAGTTACCCCCCCCCACCACCACCACAAATTTTGAGACAAAACATTCTATTTCTATTGTCCTCCCCCCAGCATAATCATGGGGCATCATGCTGCCAGTCTCTGCCTGACCAGAGGACCTCATCAACATCACAGGCGATGTCCTCCTGGTCCAAACAGCTCTGGAAGTACCACCTCGAGTGCCTCATGAAGCCCTGAAAGGCCTCAAAGGCCACATCTCTACAAGCCTCCTCCATGGCTTGAAGCAGTGGGACCTGGCTCTGTGAATTCCTTTCGTACACCTTCCACCTCCAGGCTGAGAAAAACTCCTCAGTGGGATTGAGGAAGGGGGAATAAGGTGGAAGGTATAAAATGGAAAACCGTGGGTGGTCCTGAAACCACTCGTACACCTGGGTAGCCTTGTGGAAACTTGCTTTTATGCTGCAGTCCCTGATTGCAAATTGCTCGCCAGACCTGAAAGTTTAGAGATTTGAATATTTGTGTGTTGTTGATTGAAGCTTTGAGAATTCATGTGGAAAGTGTGTGTAAACCTGAAAATTGTGTGTGTGTTTTGACAGCAAGGTAATGTGAAATTGACATCAGAGTGTAAAGGAGGAAAATCAGAGTTCTAATATGATAAGGAAATCTTAAGTAGTGATAAATTGAGTCAAGTGATTGGGAACAGAAGTAGAGGTTGTGAAAATTGTGCCTCATTTTTGCTTTTTGAGTTTTAGCAATCGAAAAAAGCTGTAACTTTGTCTGTCATTAAACTGTGTGGGTGGGTGATCCACTAGAATTTACATGGCTGTTAACATGGCTGCCTTTGGTGTGTTTTAACCTGCAAAATTTACATTACTGTCCTTATTTTGTCAATTTGTGCAGCCTACAGCATCTCCGTGTGTTAGCCATGCCGGCAGATTTTATTTTGCCGCTATTTAACTCTGTTTATTGATACTAACAGGTAAACACAATGGTGTTCAACGAGGAGGTACTAGCTTCTTGCTCTCCATGTCTTGTTGCATGTTGCAATAACCATGTCTAATGTTTGATTCTCTGTCTCATAATTTTAATTAAAAGTTTTGCTTTGAGAGCACATTTTCCTGAATTATAAAAATGCATAAATTTAGATTAATTAATTACAAAGCCTGTAATTAATTAGATACATTTTTTTAATCAAGTCCCAGCCCTACTTTAAATTGAACTCTAAATTCTACCGGGAGCCAGTGGAGGGACTGTAATACTGGAGTGATGTGAGTTTGTCTGCTGGATTTGGTTAGGAGTCTGGCTGCTGCATTTTGGATGGCTTGAAGGCGTGAGAGGGAGGTTTTGCTGAGACCAGTAAAAAGAGCGTTACAGTAGTCTAAGCGTGATGACACAAAGGCATGGATGATTATTTCCAGATCTGCAGTTGAAACCAGTTTACGGACTTTTGAGATGTTTCTCAGGTGAAAGAAACAGGAGTGGGAGATGGTTTTGATGTGTGAGTCTAAACTTAAAACTGGATCAAAAATAACTCCCAGGTTTCTAATGTTGGACTTGGCTGTTGGGCAAAAGGAGACAATTTCCTGCTCGATTTTTGGCTAAGTTCCGGGGGTGCAGTGATCAGGGTCTCTGTCTTGTTAGCACTGAGGACAAGAAAGTTGCTGGACAGCCAGTTACTGATCTGGGTCAGGCAGAGTACAAGGGTGGCCAGCCTGTCCAACTGGTGTGGCATGAAGGACATATAGAGCTGAATATCATCAGCGTAGATGTGGTAGGAGATGTCTGGGAAAGACTGAATGATGCCAGCTAGGGGAAGAATATAGAACGTGAATAGTAGAGGCCCTAGAACTGAACCTTGTGGGACCCCGCAGGTTAGAGAGGCAGTGTCTGATGAAAAGGTTTCTGACTTCACTGCGAATGTTCTGTTGGTGAGATAGGAAGAGAGACAGTCTAGAGCAGAACCTGAAATCCCAGCCAGGGCATTTAACCTGTTTAGTAGAACATTGTAGTCTACAGTGTCAAAAGCTGCACTGAGGTCTAGCAGGACCATGACAGAGCATTTCCCTGCATCAGCAGCCATCAGGAGGTCATTTTGCACCCTTACTAGAGCAGTCTTGGTTGAGTGCTGCTTCAGAAAGCCAGATTGGAAGGGGTCAGAGATCTTTGACTTAGAAAATCAGGATCTGAGTTGGGTTTCAACAACCTTCTCAAGTACTTTACTGATGAAAGGTAGTTTAGAAATGGGCCTGAAGTTACTGGTGGAGCTGGCGTCAAGGTTGGGTTTCTTTAAGAGAGGAGTCACTACTGCATTTTTAAAGTAAGATGGAACACAGCCTTGGCTCAGTGAGCTGTTGATCATAGTCAACAGAGATGGACTGATAAAGGCAAGGGACCCGACTAAAACAGAGGGAGTTAAGATATCTGATGAGCATGATGAGAGCTTCAGCTGACTGGTTATTGAGGTTAAGTCATTTAGTGTAACTGGGGAGAAGGAGGTGAAAGACTCGGAGCACTGAGGGGCCTCCTCGCTGATGGGGGAGCTGGTGGAATGCTGGATCTCAGATTCAGCACCTTGTTTGCAAACAAAGTGGAGAAATATGTTACAATCATCAGCTGAAGATAGCTGAGCCTGCTGCGGAGGAGAAGACACGATGCTGGAGATGGTGTCAAACAAAACCTTAGGATTATTCTTATTTTGGCATATGAGGTTGCTGAAGAAAGAAGACCTGGTATTTTCTACAGCTTCGTTGTATGACTCGAGAAGTTCTTCGCGATGAACAACCAAACCTGTCCTCTTCCATCGACAAAGGACAAAGTGAGGCTCTGCTGCTGCTCTGATGATGAACCCAAACAGATGTGGGTGGAGTGAGACACTCAGGTGACATGTACCTGAGCTTTGGACTAAGCAGAGCTGCAGGTGTGTGTCTGACGTCTCAGGAACAAGCTGCTTCTCCACAGCTTGTTTGTCTCACTTCAGTCGCCCATGCTCCAGCGCAAGAGCGCACACTAACCACACAATACCTGTTTTCTTTTATTAGACAGAGCCTTTCTGCTCCCCGACTACGGTATCTGGGAAAATACCTTTACTCTCCGAATGAGACAAATGTGTTGCCATGGTTACCAAACGATCCTGCGTAATTACTCAGGAGATTGCTTCCTTGACTGTGAATTGGTCCACTTTAAACTCGCAGAGTTCACTGAGAGGCGGAGAAAGATGGTGGGGGAAAGTAGAATCCACTTAAAGCTGAGGAATGCAGTCGTAATCTCTCTGAGCTCCGGTTAACACGGAAACGGACAAAAACCAAAACAAGGCTATAAATACATCTTCTCTTCTATCCATCACACTTTAGGACATATAGTTTCCTAAAATTAACAAATAATTATTTTGAACCAGTTGGGATTTGAATGGGTTATGTTCTTATTGAAATGTGCATGAATACACACGTGTAGATTAAACTCATCCATGATGATGATCAGATGAATGCTGCAGCAGAACTAAATAAAATCCAGGGTGGCCATGAACAAGCTGTCACACTGCTGACAAAGTTAAAGGAGGGTTGTGGTATTTGCGATGCCTGTTAGTCTGTCAGCACTGTGTCTCGGCGTTTCCAGCCTCTGACATATGACAGCCCCGGAAGCATTAAGCTGCCACTGTTTAAGCTGTAGCCACACTCCACGGCTCCATATTGAGTGACACGTGTAGCACCTTTGTGCAGTTTTTAGCCCGAGTGCTAATCCACTCTTGTGTGTTCCGTGTCCCTCAGCTCTGTGTAAACTGTGAAGGGCAAAGGAGACACTTTATCCACCGTGACCTTCATCTGGTGGAGCACTCCGTATCTGAGATGAATCACCACACAAAGCCCTTCACTTACACTCTGGGAATTGTAATATTGACCCAGCTCCACTTGACAATGCATAGCTTTCTGACTCTTTGATCTGGCAGCAGCTGTGTGTGTGTGTGCGTGCGTGCGTGCATGTGCGCGTGTGTATGTGTGTGTGTGTGTGCGTGTGTGTTTGTGAGCCCATATCGACTCGCGGAGCTATGAGAGAAATATTTGTAAACTCTCAAAACTAACTGAAGGAACTCTGATGTTGCGGTTTATTTATAAGTTAGAGGCACAAAGTTTGAGTAAAAGTGAGACGAGGTGTAGAAATCTGCCTCTCTTCCTTCAGGCTGTGTGTGAAACTAGGCATGTATCCTTCAGGCTGCATGTCTCAGAGAACAACGTCACGGGACTGGATGCTGGTCCACCTGTTCACCACTAGTCAGAATGGGCACACGTCGTATTGCAAACAAAGGTGGTGGTTTTGGACAGATGAAACTTCCTGGATGTTTCCACGTTGGAGAAAGAGCCAAAGCCCCAAAGGCAGCACAGCCTCCAAACCCGTAGGGAGAATTCTCTTAGAGATAAGAGCTCACAGAAAAACAAAGGCCTGACAGAACATTTGGAGAAGAGAGCAGGGATATTTGGGTCCAATCTGGCTGTGAATAAATAAAACAGAAAAAAAAGAATGTCTAGTTTTTCTAGCTGCAGATCTGTGATTTCCAAATTAACACTAAGCATGATGAGGAGTTGTAATAAGGAGGTGTTAATGATTTCTGCAAAAATGTGCCGACTTCTGCATCACCCTTCTTTATTTTTAAATTCTGTTTCTTCAGGGAGTCTTCAGATCTGGTATCACCTTCAGACAGACCGGAGTCCAGACGTGTTCGGTCCCGCTCTCGGGAACCTGGCAGACGGCCGTCTTCATCGGATCCGGATGCACAGAGTTGGCAAAAACCTCTACGTTCAGGTGAGCAACGTGCCAGAGAAGCTGTATCGGTGATGATCACTGTCACTAGATGGACGGAACTCACACACACATGAACGACTAAAACACTGCCTTCATAACAAAGTTCTGGTTTTATGGAGCACTTTAGTTAAAAGGGGAGGGGCTTTGACGTTCTCCTCTAGTTCCGTAAAGATGAGATTTGTTTTGCCCGAAGGTTCCATCCCTGCTCGCTGGTTCTTTATTGGGTCTGCATGTTCTCCACCTGATGAAGGTGGGCTGCATGGTGGTGCAGTGGTTAGCACTGTTGCCTCGCAGCACGAAGGTTGCAGGTTCAAAACTCGGCTGCGGCCTTTCTGCGTGGAGTTGCGTGTTCTCCCCATGAATGCGTGGGTTTCCTCCGGGTACTCCGGTTTCCCCCACAGATCACAACATGCCCTATAGGTTATACATTGTAAGTTGCTTTGGATTAAAATGTCTGCCAAATGACTATATATATATATATATATATATATATATATATATATATATATATATATATATATATATATATATATATAGGTTGTCTCATTGTCAGCATCAGCTGATCTGTTTGAGTCTCACTAAAGATGTTTACATGGTGTAATCTTTGTTTACTTGACTTAAGGTGGAAATTCTATGTTTCCACTTCAGCTCTACTAAAATATTAGTTTTACTCTGATGCAGCATGATGGATGTTGCTACATATTTGTTAAATGATCAATAAGACCAATGAGATGTGATGTTCCACATAAATATAAATGATCAACCTGATTGGTCTTTGAATATTTGATTTAATATTACCTTAGGTTCGATGACTATTCAGGGAACACACACTTCATATTAATTCACACAGTAAGAATATAGTATACTAAAAAATGAATTTAGTTTTATATTTCTAAGCTAATAATGACACAGAACTAATTATGGTGAATGATGGTTGAACACGATAACACAATGAATGAAATGATGTTTGTAGCAAAACCGTCTGAGAGATCTTGTGATGTCTGGGTTGTGAAATCAGTCTGACTGTATGGTTTAACACGCTATAGATTATCCAGAAAGTCATCTCACAGCAGTGTGCAGGTCTACGATACCCTCGTGTGACGCAGCTCTTGAGCAGTCTGGAGGGAAGGCAGACAGAGTGGTGATGTCACCAGATGAAGTGGCTCCTGGAATCAGAGAGTCGCAGCTCCCTTTGAACTCAGTTATCACCGGCCATAAGATGCTACCAGGGTCTGCTAGTTAGACGGTCCACGTCTGAGGTGTTGTAGTGTCTGATGTGCGAATGGATGAATGATACACTCTGGTGTAAAGTGCTTTGGAGTTCTCACTCTGAGAGGCGCTATACAACTGCGGGTCATTTATCATTTATCATACACTCGCAAGCATTGCAGAGCGGCTTTGACCTTGAGCTCAGAAGAGAGGATGGTCCCAAGTGCTTTGCTCACCCGGTAGGTCTAACCGAGTAAGCTGGCTAAGAACTCCAGTTCAGGAAGTGAGCTCTATTTTTATTACATTACAATCTAATTATAATCTAAAGATTAGTTTACAAATTTAGAAAAATCTGAATTTGACAAGTTCAAAGGTGTTGCCACAATACCTCAGGCATCTCTCCTACACCTAGATACTTAGTGGTGTTTTCTTAGTGTGAAGCAAAAATATAAATAAATAATAATAATATTATGAGGTGTGAATAAACTCACAAGTCAACATTATTGGAATTAACAATTACTAATCTGGTGTAACTTGAGATCTGAAAAAATCACTACAGAAAAAATGTATAATCATGATAAATGAGTCGCACTTGTATAGCGCCTCTCAGAGTAAGGACTCCAAAGCGCTTTACACTACAGTGTATCATTCATCCATTCACACACATTCACACACTGATCGCGATGAGCTACGGTGTAGCCACAGCTGCCCTGGGGTGCACTGACAGAGGCGAGGCTGCCGAGCACAGGCGCCACCGGTCCCTCTGACCACCACCAGCAGGCTTAAGGGTTAAGTGCTTTGCCCAAGGACACAACAGCAGAATTCTGTCTGGAGCCGGGATCGAACCTGCAACCTTCCGATTACTGGACAACCCGCTCAACCTATTGAGCTACTGCTGCCCCTCATCATTCATTAATGTTACCTATAGGACACATTATTAAAACACTTTGGATTTAAACACACGGTTCATTTAACCAAATATGGTTATAGAACATGAATGAAATTATAAAGACTCAACTCATAACAATAACAACTCATAATTCATGTTGGTGCAAATGACATTGAGAAAAGACAGTCAGAGATGATGAGGCATGCTCCATTGAAATACCCAGCTCCCTGAAAACCAAGGTGTGCACATCAGTGGCCCGTGACTGCTGGTCAGAAATGGTGATGAAATATTCAGCAGGTTGTTTGCACTGAACAGCTAGCTATAAGCTATATGCAACAAAGAGAAAGTTCACTTCTTTGATCATTTCAACTTCTTTTGGGATCACAGACACTTCTTCAGGCCGGATGGGATCCACCTGAACAAGTCTGGAGTGTTATGACTGAGGACATTTTTTCATGAACCTCCCTCAGTCTTACAATCTTTAGAAAGCTTGACGGACACTCCCTCTCTTTTACTAACTACTCCTCTGGAAGAGCTAGAGGATGCCCTCTTTTGGACTGCTGTCAGGGTGGTTAATAGGACCACTGATCCATCCTGTTGCCACCCACCTCCACATCCCCCACAATTCACTCCTTGACCCCTCCTCAATCCTGTGTCTCAGTGATGTCAATCTCCTCATCCGCTGGTACCCCAGACATCACTGAACAGTCCTCAATTTCCTGTTTGATATGTGCTGAGTCCAGATTTCAAGGAAGATGTTACTCGTGAGTATTTTCAGGACAAATGTGGATCTAATGAAATGTTCGTTTTCCCTATCCCTGTGATGATATCTAAAATAAGGAAAGTGCCTGTTCACTCAAATAATCCAAGAAACCTGATAACACTTCCTTGTCGGGCACATTGAGCACATTGCTCCCACTCTATTTCTATGAAATGGGCTTTAATAAATGATATATCTCTTAACAAGTCATTTCAAGTAGATTATTTTATATGTGCTTATGATCTGGGTTTTATGCTTTTATCTAAAACTTGGTTACATTTTGGTAGCAGTGCACCAGTTCTCACAGTTTTTTCTCCTTCTTGGAGAGTGCAGACACTTTTTTCTCCTCTAATTATTTTTCCTACATGAAGAATGGTGTAGGGGGCTACCTTGTGTCTGGAAGGAATGCACCTAGTTGGATACCTTTTTGATTCCTGGAAGGAGCGTGTCTTTTTCTGCTTTTGGTGGTGGTTTCAGAAGACTTATAGATTTTTGGATTTATGAGAACTGGATTTCTGCTGATTGGAGCAGGTGGTTATATAGTATTTTGGAAATAATGGAGCTGTTGGGGTGATTAGGTTTTTTCCTGAGCTCAAAGAATGTTGTTGCCGTGTTTTTAACACTGACTCAGACGTTACTTGAGATGAATTGCAAGCAGGATGCTTAGGACACTAATTTGGCTGTGATTCTTCTATTGGTATGCAAAATGGATACCATCATGGAGAAATACAGTAATGGTATGAAGGGAATCAAACCCCTTCATTAGGCTGTTTGGATGACCTTGAAACCAGCAAAGACTAAAGGTAGAAAGAAAAACCTATCACTAGGCTGTCCCAAAACAATCATCTTTATCTGAACCTGGCGCCCAAATAGCCTCAGAGGCTGAATAATCCAAAACTCCCACAGAATGAATGCTGACAGACGCTTTGAAATCCTCCCTCTTGGAACAGGGTTGCACTCGGTTGATCCGCAGGTGATCTGGGTGAGACCGTGGAACCTTCAAGGACTCAATGCACTCTCCATTCCTAGAATCTCCTCCATACCTCTGAGCAGTTGTGATTGAAGTGCATGTGCCGGATGCTACGTGCCATTTCTGCTGAGTTTGTTACTGCCTGAGTTTCTGCTTTAGTGTTTTGGGATGTAAATTACTGCAAGCCATCGCGGTACCCCGCAGGGAGCATAGTAGGGGTGCATGGTATTTTTTTCTCTGTCAGTCCTCCCCACCTTTGAGCAACCTATTTTCCTTATCTGAAGGTAATTATTATATGAGCAGTTTTGCCAGCTCTCAGACATTTTCAGGGAATCCTGAAAAATCAGCAGCTGATTAAAGTCGGGCGTAAGGACCCGTTCTACTGTGGTGTGGTCTATCGTCCACCTGGTCCACACAGTTCTTTCCTTCAGGAGTTTAGTGACTTTCTATCCTCCACTGTGAAGCTGTCCAGACTGGTGATTGTTGACGACTTTAACATCCATGTTGATGATCCCTCCGATCTCTTTGCCATGAATTTCTCCAGCCTCATGGACACCTTTGGCTTTACCCAGCATGTTTCTGGCCCCACACACCCCAGGGGACACACTCTAGACCTTGTTTTTACCCTGAGTCTAAATGCTGACAGTGTTTGTCCTGAGGACGTTTATGTTTCAGATCACCATTGCATTTTCTTTAACTTGTCCGTTTCTGTGTCCCCACCTCCTGCTCGCCGTATGGTTAGTTCTCGTTTTCTTAATGAGAGCACAGCTAGAAAATTTTCTGCTGCTTTTTATCCACCCTGTTCTTTTGATAATGTCCCAGATTCCTTAACTTCTCAGTTTAACGAGCACTGCCTCTCCATTCTGGACAACATCTGTCCTGTCAGAACCAGATCAGTTCCTACAGTGAACCCTACTCCCTGGTTTAATGACAGCCTTCGCAGACTGAAGTGCCAATGCAGAAAAATTGAGCGCTTGTGGAAGAAAACCCATCTCCACGTCCAGCTGCTGCACCTAAAGGATCTTCTGACATCCTTTAACTCTGCAGTCAGAGATGCCAGAGTTGTCTGTTTTTCCAACCTGGTGTCCCGGAGCAAAGGGAACCCCAAGGTGCTGTTTAACACAATCAGTAGCATCGTCTCTCCTGCCTCTCCTACAGCCTCCATCCACTCTGTTGCAGACTGTGAGAACTTTCTGTCTTTCTTTGTGGACAAAGTCAATAAGGTTAGATCTAGCATCTCTCCTTCAGCCTTATCGCTGCCTCTCCCGACTCCAACCAGGCCCATCATCCTAGATAGCTTTGCTCCTGTTTCTTTGCCTGAGTTAACCAAACTACTTAACTCTATGAAGACCTCTGCATGCCCCCTCGACATCTTACCCCCATCTTTGTTTAAAAGTGCTTTTCAGTCCATCGGTCCCAGCGTGCTCTCTATAAATAATGCTTCTCTGGTTTCTGGTCAGGTCCCTGCTTACTTTAAGAACGCTGTAATCCACCCGCTTCTTAAAAAAACGAGTCTTGACCCCTCTCTCCATAGCAGCTTCAGACCCATCTCTAATCTTCCATTCATCTCCAAGATCTTGAAAAAGGTTGTGGCTAAACAACTCACAGCTGCTCTTGATGAACATAACATCTATGATAGCTTCCAGGCAGGTTTTCATAGAGCTCATTCTACTGAAACAGCTCTTCTTAGGGTCTCTAATGACCTTCTGACTCACAGTGATGCAGGGGACTGTTCTGTTCTGGTCCTGCTGGACCTGACTGCAGCCTTTGACACTGTTGACCATCACCTGCTACTGGAGAGGCTGAGAGACTGGGTAGGCCTATCAGGATCTGCTCTGGAGTGGTTCTCCTCTTATCTTTCTGAGCGCTCCTTTTCTTTGACCGTCTCCAAGTTTAGGTCCTCCACCACCTCCCTTACCCATGGTGTCCCACAAGGTTCTGTGCTGGGGCCTCTGCTCTTCCTCCTCTATCTGCTTCCTCTTCAGCACATCCTGAGCTCCTTCAAAGGAATCTCCTACCATCTTTATGCAGATGACATCCAACTGTACATCTCCTTTAAGCCCCATGAGATGTCTAAGCTGCAGCTGTTACACACCTGCTTAGACTCTATCAAAACCTGCTGTTTTATATTGTCACGTTGATTTTAATGTTTTATGTCATAGCTGACCTTGTCCCTGGAAAGCACATTGAATATGAATAAAGCTGCCTTGAATTTGTTCATTTTTATCTAATCTAAGGTGAGTTTACTACAGAGCATCCAATAAAAAGGGAGTCACTTTTCTACATTTTATGTTGCAGCCTCATGCCAAAACGGATTCAATTCTCAGCAGCTGGGCAGAGAAACAACAAGGTTTTGTTAGTAATAATGGATGAAATCATGGAAAAGAGCTGGTGTGTGTGTGTGTGTGTACGTGCGTGTGTGTGTGTGTACGTGCGTGTGTGTGTGTGTGTGTGTGTGTGTGTGTGTGTGTGTGTGTGTGTGTGTGTGTGCGTGCATGCGTGCGTGCGTGTGTGTGATGCACCAAGGTATTTTTCACAAACAACACTTCCTCCTTCAGCTGCTGTCCTATTAATGGAAGCCGCAGTGGTCTGAAGGGGTTCAGATCAGGAGGATCGGAAGGGAGGTGAGCTTCAGCGGAGGCAGGCTAAGTTTTGAAAGGAGCTCTTTATGTAGATGGATCAGCTAATTGGGTCTGAATGTCACTACTTTAGCTGCTAAAATGCTGCATTATGAAGCTCGCTGTACAAAGGCAGACAGGAGTGCTGCTGGGGGTCTGAACTTGCAGCTGAGACAACACTCCAACTGATGTCAGATTTTAGTTAGAAAGATCCAGCTTCACTTCTGTTAGTGTGTCACAATGGTGTGTGTGTGTGTTAGTTTTACATTTGCCTGCCAACATCATGGCCAACCCAGACAAAGCAGATTCATTTGTCCTAAATTATTCATTCATCAGTTTATGGTTGATCGTTGGACCTTTCTTCATAGATATTTTCAGGATTGTTTTACCTCCCAGCCCAACAACAAGTGCACTGCAGCAGGATGACAAGATAAGCCACAGAAGGTCAGCTAAAGGTTTCCAAAGGGTGTCATGTTGCTCTCTAACCACATTTTCCTGTGACCTTTACTAAGTGGTTTCAGTGGCCTGGTGCCCAGATGTTGTAAGAATACCAGATGTAGGCAGAGTGGCTGATTGGTCTCTGATGCCTTCAACATTTATGCACATTTATTTTTAATAAAATATATTTGTATTTAAATAAATTAAATTCAACATTGTGAATGAATGATCTGAAGGTTGTGAGTTTTTTTCTAATGTGACACATGAACAGGGAGTAAACAGGGCCGCCTCTGCAGCCGTTTGCCTTTTAGAGGTAGAAGTTAAAGGAAACCTGGTGCCTTAAATGCAGTGGACACAGAATCCTGCAGTATTTTGTTCCACGTGGTTGTATTAGGTTTAACGTCTGAGTCAGCATAGTGGGCGGTCAGAATCTCTTCAGCAGCTAACTGTGGGCAGAGACGGGTTCACGTGAAGCTGCAGAGAACACAAATATCAATCTATAAAAGACAGGGAGCTGCTGATGCTGCTGCCGCTACCTCGGTTTACATTTCGTGTAATTGCCTTGTTATTTGATTTCTCTCCACTCAACCAGATCGACCAGGACATCCACAGAAAGTACACACTGTCATCTGATGCAGAGCTGATCTTAATCAGATACTTGACGCTGGGCAAAGTCATCAGTAAGTCTTCCAATTCCAGAAAGCATCCAGTGTTCCCCTCAGCTCCTCTGTCATGCTGATGGTCATGGGTGGATCTCCTTCCTCTTATTTCCACAGGAATGGAGAACTTGGACGAAGAGGTGATGAAAGCAGCTTCCAAAGGTTTCATTGGCTGCCTCTCATCGGTCCAGTTCAACCACGTCGCTCCGCTGAAGGCAGCGCTGACCAATAGGGGCAGTTCACTCATCAGCATCCGGGGTCCAATGGTCCAGTCAAACTGTGGAGCTCTGGCTGAGTCCACCTCACACACTCTGCAAGGTAACACACACACACACACACACACAGAGAGAGAGAGAGAGAGAGAGAGAGAGAGAGAGAGAGAGAGAGAGAGAGAGAGAGAGAGAGCTGCTAAACACTGTGTACATTGGCTATGATTACATAAAGCCTGGTTTATGCTTCTCCGTCAGCTCCGCAAGGGAGAGACACGCACGGATTGACGGAAGTGTTTTGCTCTCACACTTCTCCGTCTCCTGGAGAGTGTTGCAAAGCAATTGCCCAGCAGGACCACAGAGGGCGTAGCGCTGTTCTGTGGTATCCTGTCATGTATCGGTCCAAGATCGTGTGTTTATATTGTGTTTTTTGTGTATATAAGAGACTTTTAACACGGACATATTTGTCTCTCATCCTCCCACCTTTTCATGCGCTCCCCACCTCTAAACCCACGTTTCCTGTCATTTCCGTCCACAAATAAAATGTTTGCTGCACATCTTTCACTTCTCCAGTCACGGGGGAATTAAACGTTCATATTTTTAGAGTTTTTTCGCGACGTATTCTTCAAGCTTCTCCGTGTCTGCCGCTAGTTAAACTTGGCTCTCTTTGCAATGGCGGCGCTGTAAACAACAGCGGTATCCTGACCAGTCACAAGCTTGCGTAATCCGTCTCGTTCGATGGATGTTTAAAAAAGTGGGCTAGACTCCGTACGTACTTGCGTGCCTGCCGGAGTCCTAGGCAAGTACGGATAATGGCGTTGCGTGTCTCCGCACTGACGCAGACGGAGAAGCATAAATGAGGCTTTAGCCGGGACTAGGGAGGCTAACAGATTGGATTAACAAACAGAAACATTTGATCGAAAATGAAAACAACCTATCCGACCTCCCGTTTAAACACTATCAATCAATCAATCAATCAAAGCTTTATTTATAAAGCGCCTTCCGCAACCCTGTCAGGAAGCCCAAAGCGCTGAACATGGTACAGTTGTAAGTAATTATACTGAATAAATCAACAATAAAAGAAATTCAAATTACAAAATACAAATTACAAAATACAAAATGGAAATAACAAGATAGATGAAACATTCCGGTAAAATACAAATGTGTGAAACACAATTGGATTGAGTGGATGGATTGAGTGTACCAATGAAAACTGTGGAATGGATTCAACATAATAGAGGGCCATAATCAAACATGTTCTGGAAACGCCAAGCGGAGGAGGTGTGTTTTTAGGTGATTCTTAAAGACTGGCAGAGAAGGGGACAGCCTAACTGAGGGTGGCAACTGGTTCCAGAGTAACGGTGCTAGGACTGAGAAAGCCCGGTCCCCACGGGTACGACACCTAGACCGAGGGACAGCGAGCAGGCCTTGGTCAGAGGAGCGCAGAGCGCGTGATGGGGAATGTTTGTTCAGGTGTGTGGCCAGATAGGGGGGAGCACCACCCTGGAAGAAATGATAAACAAAAGAACAAACTCACACTAAAAGAACAAACCACCATCTGAAGACTCTGACACAATCATCGAGTTCTTAAATCTGCAAAACAAGCTAGCTTTTAAATGCAAACAAGGTCACTGAACTTTCACCCCTCCCATCAGTTATCATCCCTGGGCCGCGCCCCTTGTTACCAGAACCCACATTGCTGGAGGATTTGAGATAGCGCTAAACACCAGTCACCATTTTCTAGGTGCAAACGTCTTTTGTTGTCCGTGACATTAAACGGTGTTTTTCTTTTTGGGACTCTGGTAGTTTGTCCTAAAGGAGAAGTGGTAGCAGCCAGCTGATTCTCCTTCTCTTATATTTTTGAGCGGAGAACCTCTCCCACCCATGGTGTTCTGTTGCTAAATACGTGAGTGTGTGATGAGTGGAGGCCCCAGAGTAGTATGATGGTTCGGTGAGACCAACAACCAGATGGTCCAATGGTTGGCCTCAGACTGAGACATGTTATTGGTTTAGGTTTTGAGACAAACGTGAGAAAACCACTTGAATATTTCACTTCATTTTTTTAACAAGGTTTTTTTTTTTTACTTAAAAATGTATATCTGCACTAAGTCAGAACGTAGTTAGGACGCATTAAAAAATGTTTTAAGCTAATTTGTTTTCCAGCTTTGCAATTTGAGAGTATTGTTTGAACTCTCCGACTAGGAAAAGGGTAGAATGCCTTCTCCAGGTCAGGGATGAGGTCCTGCCTCAAGCGGAGGAGTTTAAGTATCTCAGGGTCTTGTTCACAAGTGAGGGAAAGGTGGAGTACAAGATCTACAGGCGCATTGGTGCTGCATCTGCAGTGATGCGGGTGTTGTACCGGTCTGTCGTGGTGAACAGAGAGCTGAGTCAGAAGGCGAAGCTTTCGATTTACCCGGTCGATCAACGTTCATACCCTCACCTATGGTCATGAGCTTTGGGTAGTGACCGAAAGAACGAGATCGTTGATACAAGCGGCCAAAATGAGTTTTCTCTGCAGGGTGGCTGGGCTCTCCCTTAGAGACAGGGTGAGAAGCTCGGTCATCCGGGAGGGGCTCGGAGTAGACCCGCTGCTCATGTTACGTGACCACTGCGGTCATGTGATGCATGTCTGTTCTATTTAACAGACATGGCCTTGCGAGGCCAGGCACCTTGACGTTGAGAAACACTCGTGGTCTTCTTACTAAACCCAAGCTTCATTTTCACAAGGCATTGTGGGTATTGTGGGTTTTACACCACTGTTGGTAAAGCTTTATTTCATTTCATAATCCCAAAATAAGAAGTTTAGTACAGAAAATACACTTTTTCAGCTTTTTCTATTCTGAAACAATTGTGTTTGTCGTCTAATTCATGCTGTGTCTGTGAAACAGAGAGAAGAAGGGAATAAAACTTATTCTACATAGATCTTTAAATTACCATCAGAGTTTTTATCTGTTAGATTTTCACATTTGGGAATGTTGTTTTTGGTTCTGCCGGATTCAGAGGTGTGAATCCACACTACAAACACGTTTTATTCTCTCTGGGTTTCACAAGTTCACACCTTTCCCTTCTGCTCTTTGGAACTTTCACAATCATTTTAAACTATTTGAAACTGTTCAACATTATTTCTGTGTAATCTTATTATTTATTTATGAGAAATAAACTCTGCTCAAAAACAGCATGTACTCTACCGACAGAGTGGTTGCATAAATAAAGAATACTTATTATTGTTATTAAAATTAGATTTATTTTAATGCTGATAATAAGTAAAAAGATCTAAGGAAATCAAATTAAGTTGTCCTAAATCATATCGGTCCAGATTCTAATCCAGACACTGATGGAGTAGCAGGGTCCAGCTCCACCAGAAAGGAAACTTGTGACCCTTGACCTTTGGATCTCCACTACGGCCTGAACATTACAGAGGAAGTGAACGTTTCCAGCAATTGCTTATGACTTATGTCACGGTAAAAAAAAAAAAAAAAAAAATATATATATATATATATATATATATATATATATATATATATATATATATATATATATATACTGTTCTCTCTAAGAACAACTCAGTTAGCTGCAAAACAACTTTTCACCCAGAACGCTTCTCTCGCTGAAAGAAATCTTCTGATTCATTCACTCATCCAAAAACTCACATTTTCATTTTAGCTTTCATTCAGTCACAGGTTTGCTTTTTGAAACAAGTTTTATATCATATTGTCTGTTCTAAAATTGTCATTTCAAATTGTCATTTTTAAAAGTGTTAGTAATAAATTCTTAACTTTAAAAACTTGACTCTTCTCTGAAATGAAACACAGAATGGTATATATATTTTTGGTTATTGAAAAAGAAAAGATTCCTTTAACTTCTGATTAAAATAATAAACTTTTGCTATTAAATTTAATTATCTTAAATTAAACATTAATCTTTGGATTAAAAAATAGACCAAGCTCGTTGGCATATGAACACCTATTAAATATATAATATCCTAGATATTTATGTGTGATAGAAGCTTCATTGTTAACTTGTTTGGACATTTTCTCAGAATCTAACAAAGCTGATAGCAAACAGCGTTAAATCCTAGTATGTAGTTAAACACGCTACAATAGATCATCAGTGATTATGATGTTTGGGATTTTAAATCACACACTGACTTTTTCTTTTTTGTACTTTTATTTTTGACTGTTTTTTTTTTCCTTTTTTTATTTTTATAAAATCCAGAAAAGGTTGAATTCCAGAGTTTTTTGCAACACAGCAGAAAAAGCCCACACAGTGCTTTACTGATGGCGTGGAGGAACTGTGACCAGAGACTCTAGGAGGAAATTCAAAATTCAGTTCATTAATTCAGTTCTGAACTTGTTGACATAAGCAAAGAGACCAAAGGAAGGATGAGAATCCAGAGGTTGTTGTGGGTCTTTATGAGGTTAATTAAATAACGTGTTCTTCGTTTGTGCCTCTTCAGATCAAGCTGGGAAGGAAGATAAGGAGCAGCACGGCGGCAGCACCCAGAAGGACTTGGCTGTAATAGCAGGTCTGTTTTCTCTCCTTTATGCTGCTCCTCTTTTCTTCCTCTGCTTAATTGAAAATGAGTTCCAGCTGTTTGTTTGTTTTCTCGGTCTTTGTGTTGATCTGGTCTCACGGTAAATCTGCTGCAGCCTCTCTCCGACACTGCGACCTACACAGCTGTGACGTGAGCAGGAAACGTTTCCTCAGCCTAAAGGACACGAGCAGATCAGAAAGCCTTTCAGATCCGAACGTAACGAAACAGTTACTCTGAGATAACGAACAGGAGCTGCTGTCAGCGCCGCCATCTGCACATCCAAACACAGCATGAACCTCATCTTTGTAGCTGAAACCCTGTTTGACTTTAATAAGAGCAGGAGTTTGTCATGTGCCAAAAGTTTCATGAAAAGATTGAACTGACAAATATTAGTGAAAACAATCAGTCAAGCTGAACACAGGCAGAAAAACAACAACGGCATCTTTAAAGCCAATTAACACATCACACAGCATGCCCGATCGTTAGTCAAACGCAGTCCTCAGATCTAATTTCACTGTTGAACAAATCCAAGCATCTGAATTCAGGAGAAATAAAAACAAAACTAGTCAAAGGAATGTAGGAAAATGCTTCAGACTCTGAGAAGGGAGTGTCACTGAGTCCTGACAGCCGTGAGTCCCAGAATAAACCTCATCAGCTGTCTCTTGGTGTTTTAATGAGGTCTGGTGCAAACAGCTGCAGTTTTAGTCCTGTGAGGTGTTCTCACACAGGGGTGCGTCTTTTCTATGTGACCATAACAGACATGGAGATGAGAGGGTTAGGGTTCTGATACCCGCTGTGGTAAATGTCCTTTTGCTGTTAAAGGTGTGGAACACTAAAAAAACATTTTTTTATTATCATTCCTGAATTGAATCGGCCACTCTGAGTTCATCATGCAGGCTGAACATGAGAATAGTCTCCTACACCTATCTCCTGCAGTAGCTTCTGATAGAAAACAGACAGTGAATCTCTAGCATTAGAAAAGCCTGACAGATCTACGTCACACAGTCACTCAACATTCATGGACTCACCCATCTGGACTCACAATGGGAAGGCTGTTGGCTTAGCGTCCAGGAAACAGCAGAAAACATCTTGGCTAGTAGAAGCTAATTGTTAGCATGAGCAACTCCACCACACAGCAGAACTCCTCCAGGCTTGTGTTATTTGTGGAGATAAGCACATCAACATTGCAAGTCAGTGGTGGAGTCGTGCTGCTGTTATCCAGTCCGAGGTAAATAGGACTCCAACGCGCCGTCTGAAGCTCAGCTCTCACGTGGCTCTCTTCTAGTTCCCCAAACAGGTGCACCGGGACTTTTTCTAACCAGAATACGACGTAAGAGGCATTTATTCCCAGTAGAGACCACTGCATTGATTAACTGTGTTCCACACCTATAAATGCCTTGTGGCTCATTTGATGTAAGCCAGTAAACTGTTTATGTCTGTGTGTGATTAAGTAAGCCACGCCCCCTCATTATAAAACAATCATCAGTTGAAAACAGCAAGCGGTGCCATTGTTCGGTGTGCAGTTGTTAAGTAATGAGGGTCAGGATCGTGTCAACTCTGTTTCAACACCAACAACAAAGCTGAGAGAATCATTTCCTGTTCCACGGGGACAGAAGGTGTAGCGCTGCTGCTTCAGACCAGTTTCCAGGCAACCAGCAGAGTCTGAGGGTGACGCTCCTGTGTTTACCAAAGAGAGATGAGAATGTCATCAACCGTCTCACTGAACTTGTAGCAAAAAGAAATAATACGTTTGCCAAAAATGTCTGATTCTCCCGTCTGAGTTGGACTGGTTTTATTTCCGGACCGAGCGGTGTTTTGTGCTTTAACTGATGAAATGTGAGGAGTTTTAGTCCTCCAGACTCAGTCTGATTCTTACTTTGTCCTGTCCTGGTTTTGGATTCTGATTTAAATGTAGAGAAGCCCTAAACTGTTTATGTTTAATCATATCTGAGAGGTCTGGGTGTGCATCCACCTGCAGCTGGCGAGGCTGGCTTCAGAGAGACGCAACGCTCTAATAAAGACCCCAAACCTTTACTTCTGAATCCAGATCATCTCTGCAGAGTAAAATTGTGTGAAAACATTCAACACAAACTGTAATTTGGTCACTGACCTGCCAGTTTCTCATGCAAATGTTGCACTAAACATCTGGATGTTCTCACATGCAGCCGTTTAATAGCGTTTGTCATGTTGGTGCTACAAATGTCCAGGGAATAAAGACAAGGACAGGGACATGTCTCCCAGCGCACACGGACATGATGGCATGCTCAGTCACACCCTGGGCTGTCAGCAACCAGGGCATTTGAACATCTGCAGCTAAGAGACCAGCTTTGAAGGCATAAATATTCTCTCTACCACATTGTTTAAATTATTCAAGATGGCGGCTGGTCGGATAATTCATCTGACACCTTTCAGCAGTGATTCCCAACCAGGGGTATGCGTACCCCTAGTGGTCCATCAGCGCATTACAGGGGGTACACAGAAAAGCTAATATTTCATTACACAGAAGAGGACGGTGCTCGCCCTGGTTTAAAAAAAACATTGTGCTGGGATGAGTTATGCTTACTCAAATAAAGTAACGCACAGTGATATATGATTGTTATCATATTATCTATGTATTATCATTATGTGCAGCAGTAGTTTAAGAGGTAGAGTGGATTGTCCAGTAATAGGAAGGTTGCAGGTTCGATCCCAGCTCCGGACAGAGAATTCTGACACTTAACCCCCCCTTGCCTGCTGATGGTGGTCGGAGGGACCGGTGGCGCCTGTGTCAGCCTCCCCTCCGTCAGGTTGCCCCAGGGCAGCTGTGGCTACATCATAGCTCATCACCAGAGTGTGAATGTGTGTGTGTCTTTACAGCCATCCTCATACTAATCAAGCATTTAGTGACAGTGGAGAGGAAAACTCCCTTTTAACAGGAAGAAACCTCCAGAGGATCCTGGCTCAGTATAAGCAGCCATCCTCCACGACTCACGAGAAGACGTCATCATTTATATATCTTTTTAATGTGACTGTGCATTAGTTTGGTCAAGCTACGCCAGCTTTAGACTAGATAAGAGGTCACCAACTCTGGTCCTCAAGGGCTACCATACTGCACGTCAGCAGTTTCCTGACTGAAATGAATGAGTAATTAGCAGGCTTGTGCAAAGGTAAATGTGGTAAGGAGGGGATTCAATTACTCCATTAAGGTGTGGTCAAGCAGGAACCACAGAAAACCAGGAAGATGGTAGCCCTCGAGGACTGGAGTTGGTGAAGCCTGGACTAGAGGCTGCTGTGCAGTGTGGATTAAGGCGTACTGAAGATGGGGTGACGTTGGTTGTACGGACCAGGTTTGGGTTTTAGGACCTGATGCTGAACGGAGAAACATCCTCAGTAAATAATTCTGGCGACAGTAAAGTCATATCTGCATTAATTGCTCGTTAACACTATGCCGTTTTTCAACACAAGATAATCACACAAGCTTCCAAACATCTCCCAGGATTTAGTTAGAACAAATGTCCATATGTAGCTGTTTCTCCCATTAACAAGCAGATCACTTGTGTAAGACAGTTTGAACAAATAAGTAATAAATAAAACTGCGCAAAAATAAAAAAAACGTCTAATGTACAAACAAATAGCACCTCAACTTAAAATACCTGGCAGGGGTCTATTCTGCCTTGGCCCCCAAAATGCCTTGATACGTTCCTGGGCATGGGACTGAGTTTTGAAGGTGATCTGAATGGTATCAAACATATAAATATTACATACTGGTAAATGATTGCTTTAAGATAAAACGTGTCGTGCGATAAAGCTACATTTTATTTTTTAAGAACTTTGTTTTGTTTTCTTGGTTTTCACTTTCCTATTTTCCTGTTGTGTCTGTCTCTGATCTTCCTGCATCTCTTCTCAGTCCTCCAGATAAACTGCTGCCTGGCTTCCTCCTTTTTCACCTCATGAGTTACCTTTTACCAAAGCAGGTCAAATGGATCTACTGACCACAAAAATAGCAGTGTGCACTGTCCGGCCACTTCAGTGACGTGCGTCACTGGACCGTGGGTGATGAGCGTTGCAGAAGCAGAGCGCGTCAGGCACCAATAAAAGACAGAAATCACCAGAGAGAATGTAAACAGACATGAATGATCGTGTGCTAATTATATATTTTTGGGTTTTGCCTCTTTCACTGTCATTGTGGCCGTGCATGAATAATCAGCACTCTCCCGCCCTCTGTATCTCCACTTAAAAGAATCCCCGCTACGCTGAGAGTCCATATGAATAATATAATATAGGTAGGAACTGCATCTTTCTTCTGGCTCCCTCTGGGTGTGTAAGTTGAGGGCATCAGTTGAGCCCGACAACCTTTCAGTAGAACCGGGTTCCCCTTAGCTCTCCTCTAATTTGAACCCTGTACCCAAATCCGGATTGGGAAGTAACACCCGATCAAGTCTGAAACCACATGATCCTGACAGATTTCTGATCACGTGATTGGATCTGGACATCCCTAGATTATTCTGCTGTTTATAAATGGGTTAGGGCTAGGGCTAACCCAGATGTTCTGCTCCTGATGCTAATAGCTGAAAATAACCTGTAAGATAAACTAACATCACAAAAACCTCTGGGAGATTTAGGAGATAAGCGCGGTTTTAAGATGGCAGACACACTGTTGCCCTGTCCTCACCCAGACTAGCCATTAGCTCATCAGTCCCGAAGGACATGAACTCTTTCTCTGAACATAGGCTGTTCAGGAAGCTATTTGGGTAAGACAATATTCATGTAAAATATTTACACAGAAACATGCGTAAAAATGGCTGAAATGTCCCATTGAGGACATAGCATTGACTCGGGGAAATGTCCCGGCCTCTGGGCATGACTGTAACTCCCATCATCACCCTCTAACGCTCCCTCCTGCTGTGTTCTCAGGTGTGGTCACAGCGGTTGTCTTCATCGCCGTGTGCGCTCTGGCTGTGGTGAGCCGACTCCTTTATCAACAGCGGCAGGCCCAGAGGAACAGCAGTATAAAAGAGGAGCACAGACACAGCACATACACAGACTACAGGACTGAGCTGCACCTCCACAACTCTGTCAGGGACAGCGTGAAGGAGTACTACATCTGAACACAGCGTGCAGCCTCTGCCACAAACTCTGACAAAGGACTTCTAGGTGGATGCATGGCTGTAGTAAGAACACGCCCCGGTGCCCTGGAAGCTCCTGGGGACACTGTGCATTCCTGCAGCCTACGGTTCCCTCTCTAAATGCTCCTGTACAAGCTAGTGGCTGAATCTTTGCAGCTGTTAGTGTGTGTGACGTTGGTGAAATTGTCAGAATCAAACTGCTGTGGTTTCTGTCATTGCAAAATGTGTAAAGCATAAGATGAATGTCCTGCAGAGATGGACAGAGGGAAAGCCTGAGCACAGGTAGCAGAAGCTGCTGTCCATCCTGAATGCACACGACTCAGTGTTGTGTCTGAACTCCTCCCACCCTCCCAGAGCAGCGGGACTCCTCCCACCCTCCTGGAGCGGCAGGACTCCTCCCACCCTCCCAGAGCGGCGAAACTCTTCCCACCCTCCTGGAGCGGCAGGACTCCTCCCACCCTCCCAGAGCAGCGGGACTCCTCCCACCCTCCTGGAGCAGCAGGACTCCTCCCACCCTCCCGGAGCGGCAGGACTCCTCCCACCCTCCCAGAGCAGCGGGACTCCTCCCACCCTCCTGGAGCAGCCGGACTCCTCCCACCCTCCCGGAGCAGCGGGACTCCTCCCACCCTCCTGGAGCAGCCGGACTCCTCCCACCCTCCCAGAGCAGCGGGACTCCTCCCACCCTCCCACAGCTTTGGGAGCCTCTAATCTGTTGATGAGAATGAGGAGCTGTAGGTTGGGCCTGTAACATATGCGTGCATTTGCTGCTGTTTTTGTTTTGGGTAGTTGTTTTTTTTTGTAGTGATGGTGGACGCTGAGGTGATGGGGACAACACTGCCTTTACTGTATGAGTGCCTACTTTACATTTGTGTTCGTGGGTTTGATTCCATTACAGTATTTTATGTTTTCTGCTTTGATCTGGCTCCAGGCTAAACCTTCTACTTAAGTAGGAGCTTACTGTTGTGTGACCAACACCACGTAAAGTCACCTCTCACCATCACACCACCCCCTCCTTTTATCCAGAGCAAAAGGAGACAGTTTCTGTCCTCTGAGTCATTTCCACTTCACCAGCTGAACGGGGCAGAAAAGGAGACCAGGCAAACTCAAAGCCTCATTCATCAAACCCAGAAGGATCTAAAACATCTCTGCCAGACCCAGAGAGGTTCTATAGAGGTGTATTTATCTATGAAAAAAAGTATTTAACGCCTCTGATTCCTGCTAAATGTTCCAGATTAGACCTGAGTACAAACCTTAGTAAACTGCAGCTTCAGATTATTCCATTTATCCCCCCAAACCAGCCTGATTCTGTGTGAAACCTGGCAACGGGCCTGGGAGGCACCAGCTGATCCCGAGTCAGTGAAGGCTCTCACCACTCTGGAGGAGTTTTGTCCCTCTCTTCTTCCCAGAATTATCTCAGAGGGTTCTCCAGCAGAACGCTCTCCTCCAGGATGCTCTTCTGTAGAGCAGAATTCATGGTTCCATCAGTTACAGCAGGTGGTCCAGTTCCTTACTCAGGTGACCTTTGATGTTCATTTGGTTTGTTCATTTGTATCATTGAGGTGATTAAAAGTCAAACACAGAGCCACATGAGGGGTTGGGGGTTGAACTCTTCAGCAGCTCTGTAGAGGCCCAAACATTTACTAGTGTGGATAAAATCCTGACATAAACAAAGTTCATCAGATAAAAGCCATTTTCAGAGGAATGTTATTTTAGGCAGGAGACTGGAACATTTAAAAAGATCATGGAAAGACTGAAGTGTGTGACCAATCCTGAGATGTAGACATTAAGCTCATTAGGAACACCTCCCAGGCTGAAGCCACCATTGGTGGAAACCAGTCAGCAGTGATGGTGTTCCAGTTGTTATTCCGATGGGATCAGGACATAAATCTGAGGTTTGGCATGGGGCTTTAGAAGGTATCGGGTCTGGCAGATGAGTGATGCTGACGCTGGAACCACCCTGCTGGTGACACTGGGAGCTGTCACACAGGTGGGCAGTGGACCAGTGAAGTAGGGTTCACAGTAAATGTTAGGCTGGAGAGGTAGCCATGGTAACAGGGTGGGGAAACCTCACACTTTTATGTGCGTGCCAGGAGTCTGACCACGCTGCCTGAAAGTTTTAGTTATCCATCCTGGGAGCAACACATGCATGAGAGGTCTTCTCGGGGTCATTAGGAGAAGGTTAGGGGCACCACCACCACCACCAGTAAACCAAAAACCCTTACCTGTTCTAGGCACCTGGCTGGGGACCAGTGCTCAGCCATGACTCACAATGCCAGTCAGTCCGGTCCAACGGACCTGAAGAGGTCAACGCCGGTTCTGATCGCAGTTTGTTTATGAGGCTGTTCCAATCCACCATGAAGCAGCCTCGGTGGTCATGTGACCTTCACACCTGGACGTCAATAGAACAATGCCATGTTGGGTGTTCATGTGGAGGTGATGAGGAACCCGATGGAACGTTCAGCTGCTTCAGTGAGCAGGGAGAAACACCCTTGTATACATCTCACTGTAATTAGCTGCTTTCCTGTTGTCTGGAGTGCTTCTGGATGTCCAAACTTCCGTGCTCAGTAACACTAATGAATCCCAGTCTATGTATGGAAACGGTGACACACACACTTACACACCGTGCGTCAAGCCGTTTGATAAATGAGGCTTCATTCGTGTCTGCGGGTTTGTCTGTGAGGACGTAAACACCTGGAATACCTGGAGTTTCAGAGATAATAGATGTTGTGTTAATATGGAAACACGTGTGACGAGCCACGAACAAACAGAACGCTCTGCAGGAGCTGGTGCTGGTGTTCAGGCAGCAGGGCGGCTCACACCGGGAGCCCCAGGTGCAGCAGAGACGCAGGAACTGGATTACCTATCTGCTACATCACATGTTCGGGTGGGGAGGGGGCATTAGGGTGGAATCACTGCTGCCTTTCTAAGACTGTCGGGCTTGTTTTTCCAGAGAACAAACCAGCAACGCTGGGCTTTGTGCAACCTCCAGAAACAAATCAGACTAATCTGCTACCTGACAGGCTGTTTATCCTCCGTGTGAGCTGCGCCGCTGGTTCTGGGTTTCTCAAGCCAAATCTTTTTAGGGATCGTTCACCAGTTGAGAAAAATCCAAACTGCATCTGGTCCCTAGACGCATCAGAAAATGTTTAAGCGCGGGCGATGTCAGAGGAAAATGGTGAAAACAATCCAGTTTGGCTTGTCTCGCCCTCCTTCTGCTTTCTGTCAACATCAGCCATGCGCAGCCAACAGGTACATGAAGGTAAAGCCCAAAGACGAGCCCGGCCAGTGGCTTCTGCTGTCTCAGCATCCTGGAGCAAACTTTGTTCTTCTTCCAGGGGCGTGGGGGAGGGGTCTGAGCTTTGGACCGATGCACTGATGGACTGGAGCTCCTTGATGGCTGAAGACACAGGAGACAAGCATGATGAGTAGAGACAAAGGGTCCTTCCTGTGCATGTCCTGCAAGCTCGCCTCAAAATATGATAGTGTGCAGATTTCCTGTAACATGAAATGAATACATACCTCTGAGTGTTTAGGTTATATAACGTGGTCACTTCTTAATGATTTGTATAGCTGCAGTTTTATTAAGGATCTAATGTATAGATGTATAATTTAATAATAAAATAGAATAAATTGTTGATTTTTTTCCTGTCGTCGTCTCATTGTGTGCAGCTGCTCTCTGCAGGGCAGGGATGAGAAAACCGCTCAAGCAGTCAGTCTCAGTCTGACAAAAGGAAACACCTGACAGTGCTTGAATTATTTTACAGTTTCATTACAGAACAAACACCCAAAATATCTAAATAAAATAGCAAAATAAAGAAAGTGTGAGGAATGACGTCTCCTGAGGGTCTGATGCACAACTGCACCAGTTCTGATTAACCTAATCCATATTAATGAAGGCTTTTAAAGACTGGAATTGTGGTTTGATATCATGCCGTTATTTTCCTGACGGACCATAAACTACTGAGTTTCAGCTCAGTACTAAAGTCTAAATTAACAGTTGAGTTTCCCTCTGATGAGGTGGAGCGAGTAGCCACACGTTGTTCCACCCTACTGATGCTTCAGTGTGTTCATCTGCTACATTGCTGGTGCTGTGAAGCTTGGAGGATTTTTACTGCTATTTTTTAGCTTTTTTCACTTTTTAACCGTTTGTTATAAATGCGTAACCATGGCAACAATCTGGTTTACAATCGGTAGCAGCTGATTAACATTGGAAAGGCTGAAATAATACCTCAACTGAAGCCACAAATCCCAAATGAGCTAAAACGCAAGAAGTGTGGGTGCAGAGCGGGAGCAAAACAGAGACAGAGAGAGAGGAAATTCAAACCATCTCTTCCATCGATCATAATGGGTGATGTGAGATCTCTGGCCAACAAGATGGAGGAACTCCAAGCCCTTTCAAGGACTCAGTCAGAGTATCTGCACTTTCGGAACCGCTGGAGGAGATAATGCAAAGAAGGATTCTCCATAGAATCAAGAAAATGATGGACAACCCTGAGCATTCTCTTCACAAGACTGTCCGACAACGGAAGAGTGTCTTCAGTCAGAGGCTTCTTCAGTTTGGCTGCAACACTGGCCGCTACTGGAGATCATTCCTGCCAACAGCCATTGCAATATACAATAACTGTTTGATGACTTGATTATTATTATTATTATTCTGAGCTACTACAACAATCAATTTTCCTCTGGGATTAATAAAGTATTTTTGAATTGAATTTAATAAAGCTCAGTTGTGGGTCTTCTAACTAGCAACATGTAAAGGTTCTTAGGCTTCATAAATCATCTAAATTCCACAAAAGTTGCAGTTTCCTGCTTAATAACACTTTCATTAACGTTACTGTACTGTAGTTCCACTTGTTTCTCTATGGCTGCATGTTTGTCTTCATCAGAGCCTCCACCCCCCCCCCCCCCCCCCCCCCACACACACACACACACACACACACACACAGACACACACAAAGGAGTGAGTAGAAGGGCA